AAGCCAACTCCAATCTCTTGGATCAAGAACCCTTCACTAGCATCAAGGCAATCCCACTTTTGAAGATTTCAATTAATATTTTCATAAAAGTGAACTCTAAGATAAGATAAGATTTCGTTCGGATTTTTAACCGCGGAGGGTTAGCCACCCAGGATAACCCAAGAAAGTCAGTGCGTCATCGAGGACTGTCTAACTTATTTCCATTGGGTCCTTAATCTTGTCCCCCAGGATGCCACCCACACCAGTCCACTAACACCCAGGTACCTATTTGCTGCTAGGTGAACAGGACAACAGGTGTAAGGAAACGTGTCGAATGTTTCCACCCGCCGGGAATCGAACCCTGGCCCTCCGTGTGTGAAGCGGGAACTTTAGCCACCAGGCCACCAGGCCACCGGGCCACCAGGCCACCGGGCCACCAGGCCACCGGGCCACCAGGCCACCGGGCCACCAGGCCACTGGGCCACCAGGCCACCAGGCCACCGGGCCACTGCTTGTTGTTTTTTATGAGGAAACTGATAAGACAACATTCTGCCAAATACCAATAATCGACCTGATACTATCTGGCTACCAAGACAAAATATCTAAGTTATAATTTTTCTTGTTTTAGGGCATAAATGACATATTGACAATAGTCAAAAGCGCCATTAAAGGCACAGATCAGAAAACTCGCTTTTACTGGGACATCAGAGGATCTGTCAGTTGCAGAACACATTACGACAAATGTAGTTAAGGCAAGGGAAACGACAGGGTCGATGATGAGAACTTTCAAAACACACGAAGCAATGCCTATGATGATGGTACTTTCCAAAGCAATGGTGCTCCAAAGACTTGGATACTGTTTTGTGCTCACTGCCTCTCACAAGGCTGGCAAGAGAGCAGAGCTAGAAAATAAACAGAGGTCGTATACTGCCTGCACATAATTCTCACCTCTATGAAGCTCCTCTATATAGGACGGTCCCGTGTTTTTGGCACCCTAGTCTCAGTGTCCCAATTATTCGGTGGTTTTCAATTGAGCCATTGTTCATTATGTTCAGTGTTTGTTACGTTTTTCTGCAACAACTGTGTAAGGGATGGGCGACCAGCATCAGTTGTGTAAAAGATGGGCGACCAGCATCAGTTGTGTAAAAGATGGGCGACCAGCATCAGTTGTGTAAAAGATGGGCGACCAGCATCAGTTGTGTAAAAGATGGGCGACCAGCATCAGTTGTGTAAAAGATGGGCGACCAGCATCAGTTGTGTAAAAGATGGGCGACCAGCATCAGTTGTGTAAAAGATGGGCGACCGGCATTATATTTTAAAGTATTGTATGTACAAAGTATTTATTTCACTTTTGGATTTTTTTATGCCTAGCTGTATTGAGCACTTAATATATGATAGCATGAACATGTTATCACGTGTTTTAGACACATTTCATATCGAAAAAATATTTTTTCCACTTGGTTGCAATTTTAGTTTATTGGTGGGGGTTGGGAACCTAACGTAAAAATGAGTCCTCCTGTACAGTGTGATATTTTTTGTAAATGTGACTGAAGAAGTACATTCAAACTTGAAGAGCCTGTGGAAAGGCCTTCATAGGATACATGTAGAGCAGGAAGGCAACGTGTACAATCAGAGAACACTATATCGACATTTATGGTTGAAGACTCCTCAACAAACTAAAAGCTGATATCAGAAATACAGTGGACCCCCGGTTAACGATATTTTTTCATTCCAGAAGTATGTTCAGGTGCCAGTACTGACCGAATTTGTTCCCATAAGGAATATTGTGAAGTAGATTAGTCCATTTCAGACCCCCAAACATACACATACAAATGCACTTACATAAATACACTTACATAATTGGTCGCATTGGGAGGTGATCGTTAATCGGGGGTCCACTGTATTGCACGAATGAACACAAGTTTTCAAGAAGCTGGATAACTTCCGGTTAAAACTGGCAAACTGCTACAGCGACTATATGGGAGTACGGGCTGCTAACACAGCCTAGTTTAGATAATTAACATGGAAGTCTGGAATCGGGCCAGTCTGTGTGGATAACCGAGTCATCAAAACTCGTCACAGGTAAATACAGCGGACCCCCGCTTAACGATCACCTCCCAATGCGACCAATTATGTAAGTGTATTTATGTAAGTGCGTTTGTTTGTGTATGTTTGGGGGTCTGAAATGGACTAATCTAATTCACAATATTCCTTATGGGAACAAATTCGGTCAGTAATGGCACCTGAACATACTTCTGGAATGAAAAAATATCGTTAACCGGGGGTCCACTGTACACAAGTTAGTGAAGTCATGACTCAATAAAGCTTCCTCCACAAGCCATGCGTGTTGTAAGAGGCGACTAAAATGCTGGGAGTAAGGGGCTAGTAACCCTTTCTCCTGTATATATTGCTAAATTTAAAAAGGAAAAACTTTCATTTTTCTTTTTAGGTCACCCTGCCTTGGTGGGATATGACTGAGTCATTGAAAAAAAAAGAAAAATTTAGTTAGGTCTGTATTCAAGTAAAGAAACTCACAGATCAGGTGAAAAATCTTGACAATAAAGATACGCAACTGTCGCACGTCTTACTCGTATACTTGTCAGTATTTTTATTTTTTTTAACATGTTGGCCATCTCCCACTGAGGCAGGGTGACCCCCTCCCCCCAAAAAAAAAAAACACTTTCACCATCATTCACACTATCACTGTCTTTGCAGAGGCACACAGATACAACAGCCGAGTTGTCCCTCTAAACAGCAAATATCCCAAAACCTTCCTTTAAATTGCAGGCATTATACTTCCCACCTCCAGGACTCAAGTCAGTATTGTACACCAATAATATAATGATAAAGACCACACAGAGAAAAATGATGTCCCAATAAAAGCCTGTTCATCACCTGTTTTTTGTTCATCACCTGTTTTTTGTTCATCACCTGTTTTTTGTTCATCACCTGTTTTTTGTTCATCACCTGTTTTTTGTTCAAAACTTTTACTCCCAAGACAGTTTATCGTCAAAGCTTACATTTCTGTCAGTCACTCCGGGAAGCTAGACTTAAGTCTCCTTCTGACTCATTATGGTTATACAGTGGACCCCCGGTTAACGATATTTTTCATTCCAGAAGTATGTTCAGGTGCCAGTACTGAACGAATTTGTTCCCATAAGGAATATTGTGAAGTAGATTAGTCCATTTCAGATCCCCAAACATACATGTACAAACGCACTTACATAAATACACTTACATAATTGGTCGCATTTAGAGGTGATCGTTAAGCGGGGGTCCACTGTATTCATATGGTAGCGCTAAACCCATAGGGGTAATACGGTGCCTGGGGAATGGGAGGCAATCAGCTTGATCTAAGGAAATGGAAGACAACTCCAGTTCTGCTGATCAAGAACTATTTACCAGTATCATTGCTCCTTCCTATAAGGGTCAATATCCTATGGTAAATGCTGCTGCTGCTGCAAGACACTACTGAGTATTACCACCTATGATATGTTATAATCAATAAAGAAGTAAATCCCACATGAATGGAGAATCAAACACGGAGTATAAACAGAAAGATGAACGGGAGACTTAAACTGTGGCCCCAAGACTGATGGGCGCAGCACTCTACCGCTTCAGCTGCAGGATTTGTAACAGAGCATAAAATGTATGTGAAACATCATAGGCTTGAACCTATGAACTCCAACAAGGAAGTTAGTTTAATATCTTTATTGTGTACCCCATACCCATCCTGTGGGTGGTAGTCACACCATACCCATCCTGTGGGTGGTAGTCACACCATACCCATCCTGTGGGTGGTTAGTACACCATATACCATCCTGGGTGGTAGTCACACCATACCCATCCTGTGGGTGGTAGTCACACCATACCCATCCTGTGGGTGGTAGTCACACCATACCCATCCTGTGGGTGGTAGTCACACCATACCCATCCTGTGGGTGGTAGTCACACCATACCCATCCTGTGGGTGGTAGTCACCCCATACCAATCCTGTGGGTGGTAGTCACACCATACCCATCCTGTGGGTGGTAGTCACACCATACCCATCCTGTGGGTGGTAGTCACCCCATACCAATCCTGTGGGTAGTAGTTACACCATACCCATCCTGTGGGTGGTAGTTACACCATACCCATCCCGTGACGGTAGTCAAAAGATTATGGAGGTACATAACTGACAAGGAAGTAGGGACCTCCTCGACACAGCTACAACCCAGGATACCTGGAGTATATGTGGAGAGAGTTCTGGGGGTCAACGCCCCCGTAGCCCGATCTGTGACCAGGCCTCATGGTGGACCAGGGCCTGATCAACCAGGCTGTTACTGCTAGCTGCATGCAGTCCAACATATAAACCACAGCCCAGGTGGTCAGATACTGATAGATGATCTTCAGTACCTGAAGGAGTCATACAGTGCCTAGGGAATGGGGGGGGGGCAATCACATCTGATCCAAGGAAAGGGAGGGTAGCTCCAATTCCTTGAATCAAGTCCCACAGCATCGAAACACATCCCAGGAAGAGAAACAGGCCCATTGATCGAGACCAAAATATTAAACCGACCCTTTCTACTCCAAGTTTTATTTCCCATCTGCGTGGACTTGACCTCTTCGCATTTGTTTTTGTTTTGCTTATTACAACACACGAAAACCTTTCACACTCACGAACAAGCTAGGACTCGACCCCTGCAACCACTTACAGGTGAGTACACAAAGACACAGTACAGTGGACCCCCGGTTAACGATATTTTTTCACTCCAGAAGTATGTTCAGGTGCCAGTACTGACCGAATTTGTTCCCATGAGGAATATTGTGAAGTAGATTAGTCCATTTCAGACCCCCAAACATACACGTACAAACGCACTTACATAAATACACTTACATAATTGGTCGCATTCGGAGGTGATCGTTAAGCGGGGGTCCACTGTAATTTGCATCTTCAACAATACAAAAATAAATTGTTGATGTAGAGCTCGAGGAGAAGTAAAATATATTTTAAAACGTTATGATAATAAATTACTATAAAATGAGTAATTACACCGAGAAAGTTCTCTTTTATTCAGTGTGGTCTGAGTTATGTAAATGCAATTGAAAAAGTCTTTTCAAAATTGAATAGCAAATTACAAAGGCCTTTTCATGTGGTATGCAAATCTGGATGCCTTTTTTAATGACAGTTCCAAATTAAAAAAATCACACTATAGAGAACAACTTTATAAAAGAGATTATTATATACGAAAAAAATAAAAATGGCAGCAAAAATGACGAGAACAGAAATGACCAGAAGCCCTTGTGGGTTTACACCTCCCATCTTCAGTGGAGCTTATCTCCAAAGATGTACACAATGTACAGGATGTACACAATGTACAGGATGTACACAATGTACAGGATGTACACAATGTACAGGATGTACACAATGTACAGGATGTACACAATGTACAGGATGTACACAATGTACAGGATGTACACAATGTACAAACACACAAAACCATTTGGGTATTTCCTTTGTATACATTTTTCACTGTGATAGTGTTATCATATTTTATATTTCAATAAAACTCAAAGAAGGGAACTATACCATATAGTCAGCTCTCTCGTAGAACTGCTTTATACGGCAAGTTTTTGTAAATTTGATTGAGAACGCATCCAAAAATTGAATAGCATGTTCTGTATCTGCTAATCAATTATTGATGTCGTTTCTCTTCGACCGCACTTGTAAACTATGACACAATACCGAGATAGAATACCTTTATAAGGGAACTTAGTATATAAAGAATAAAAAGGCACAATACCATGACGGGAACGATACAGAAATAACCCGTACATAAGAGATTGAAACTTATGATGTATCAGTCCGGTGTGGCTAATTAATGTCCAAATCGGACCAAAACATCATCTTAAGTTTCAGTCTCCCATGGGCAGGTTGTGTATGGAACTTAGTGTACTAAATAGGTACATTATTTTAAAAAAATACTTATAATGTGAGATCTTTGAGCCTCCTCCACCTCCCTTGCACCTTGCGTATATTCAACACGAAAACATTTTTACGAATTAGAAATTCGTAACCGGCTGATTTCTATTTCTTCTTCAAGAAGCCCGGCAGACTGACGTTAATAGCCTGAGCCTTGGCTTGCAGAGCATTGGTGGACGGGCGGGAAGCAAACATCTTGCTCACTTTGTTCTTCATGTCGTCTACGCCGGGGTGGACGGGCAGCGCTCCACTAAGTGATAGGTTGGATTTGCGTCTGCGGAAAAATATTTTGTTCAATAATGTGTGTGAAATACTCCTGAAAGACGAAAAATGCATTTCTGATGACTGGGTTAGATTTGCATCTGTGAAAAAGTATTTTATTCAGTAATATGTAAAAAACACATCCGAAGGATGAAAGATGCATTTCGGATGACCAGGTATGCAATAAACAAGTTTTCAGACACCCAAATGCCTCTCTAGGCACTAACGGAGATCACCGTTTAGGGGCAGCTTCAGAATTTTACTGCATATGGCAGTGTCAGGGGTGGCAACCTGGTTGGAAAAAACAGGCTACGATACCTGTCTTGTAATAAAGTTGGTAGAATTACCGACAATATGTAAAGTAAAAGGACACAAGTGCAACTAATGTGACATTTTATTGTGGCAATGTTTCGCTCTCCAGGAGCTTTATCAAGCCATTACGTAATGGCTTGATAAAGCTCCTGGAGAGCGAAACGTTGCCACAATAAAATGTCACATTAGTTGCACTTGTGTCCTTTTACGATACCTGTCTTGAAACATTATTAATGTATTACCATTATTTTTCAAAACGATGGCTGTCTCCTACCAAGGCAGGGTGGCCCGAAAAATAAAAACTTTCACCATCATTCACTCCATCACTGTCTTGCCAGAAGGGTGCTTTACACTACAGTTTTTAAACTGCAACATTAACACCCCTCCTTCAGAGTGCAGGCACTGTACTTCCCATCTCCAGGACTCAAGTCCGGCCTGCCGGTTTCCCTGAACCCCTTCATAAATGTTACTTTGCTCACACTCCAACAGCACGTCAAGTATTAAAAACCATTTGTCTCCATTCACTCCTACCAAAACACGCTCACGCATGCCTGCTGGAAGTCCAAGTCCCTCGCACAACAAAACCCCTTTACCCCCTCCCTCCAACCTTTCCTAGGCCGACCCCTACCCTGCCTTCCTTCCTACAGACTGATACCTCTTGAAGTCATTCTGTTTCGCTCCATTCTCTCCACATGTCGAACCACCTCAAACAACCCTTCCTTAGCCCTCTGGACAACAGTTTTGGTAATCCCGCACCTCCTCCTAACTTCCAACTACGAATTATCTGCATTATATTCACACCACACATTGCTCTCAGACATGACATTTCCACTGCCTCCAGCCTTCTCCTCGCTGCAACATTCATCACCCATGCTTCATACCCATATAAGAGCGTTGGTAAAACTATAACTCTCATACATTCCCCTCTTTGCCTCCAAGGACAAAGTTCTTTGTCTCCAAAAGACTCCTAAGTGCACCACTCACCTTTTCCCCTCATCAATTCTATGATTCACCTCATCTTTCATAGACCCATCCACTGACACGTCCAACTCCCAAATATCTGAATACATTCACCTCCTCCATACTCTCTCCCTCCAATCTGATATCCAATCTTTCATCACCTAATTTTTTTGTTATCCTCATAACCTTACTCTTTCCTGTATTCACTTTCAATTTTCTTCTTTTGCACACCCTACCAAATTCATCCACCAATCTCTGCAACTTCTCTTCAGAATCTCCCAAAAGCACAGTGTCATCAGCAAAGAGCAACTGTGACAACTCCCACATTTATGTGTGATTCTTTATCTTTTAACTCCACGCCTCTTGCCAAGACCCTCGCATTTACTTCTCTTACAACCCCATCTATAAATATATAAACAACCACGTGACATCACACATCCTTGTCTAAGGCCTACTTTTACTGGAAATAATTTCCCTCTTTCCTACATACTCTAACTTGAGCCTCACTATCCTCATAAAAACTCTTCACTGCTTTCAGTAACCTACCTCCTACACCATACACCTGCAACATCTGCCACATTGCCCCCTATCCACCCTGTCATAACCCTTTTCCAAATCCATAAATGCCACAAAGACCTCTTTAGCCTTTTCTAAATACTGTTCACTTATATGTTTCACTGTAAAACACCTGGTCCACACACCCCCTACCTTTCCTAAAGCCTCCTTGTTCATCTGCTATCCTATTCTCTGTCTTACTCTTAATTCTTTCAATAATAACTCTACCATACACTTTGCCAGGTATACTCAACAGACTTACCCCCCTATAATTTTTGCACTCTCTTTTATCCCCTTTGCCTTTATATAAAGGAACTATGCATGCTCTCTGCCAATCCCTAGGTACCTTACCCTCTTCCATACATTTATTAAATAATTGCACCAACCACTCCAAAACTATATCCCCACCTGCTTTTAACATTTCTATCTTTATCCCATCCATCCCGGCTGCCTTACCCCCTTTCATTTTACCTACTGCCTCACGAACTTCCCCCACACTCACAACTGGCTCTTCCTCACACCTACAAGATGTTGTTCCTCCTTGCCCTATACACGAAATCACAGCTTCCCTATCTTCATCAACATTTAACAATTCCTCAAAATATTCCCTCCATCTTCCCAATACCTCTAACTCTCCATTTAATAACTCTCCTCTCCTATTTTTAACTGACAAATCCATTTGTTCTCTAGGCTTTCTTAACTTGTTTAATCTCACTCCAAAACTTTTTCTTATTTTCAACAAAATTTGTTGATAAAAATCACCCACTCTCTCATTTGCTCTCTTTTGTACATTGCTTCACCACTCTTTAACCTCTCTCTTTTTCTCCATATACTCTTCCCTCCTTGCATCACTTCTACTTTGTAAAAACTTCTCATATGCTAACTTTTCTCCCTTACACTCTCTTCACATCATCATTCCACCATTCGCTCCTCTTCCCTCCCGCACCCACTTTCCCTGTAACCACAAACTTCTGCTGAACACTCTAACACTACATTTTAAACCTACCCCATACCTCTTCGACCCCATTGCCTATGCTCTCATTAGCCCATCTATCCTCCAATAGCTGTTTATATCTTACCCTAACTGCCTCCTCTTTTAGTTTATGAAACCTTCACCTCTCTCTTCCCTGATGCTTCTATTCTCCTTGTATCCCATCTACCTTTTACTCTCAGTGTAGCTACAACTAGAAAGTGATCTGATATATCTGTGGCCCCTCTATAAACATGTACATCCTGAAGTCTACTTAACAGTCTTTTATCTACCAATACATAATCCAACAAACTAACTGTCATTTCGCCCTACATCATATCTTGTATACTTATTTATCCTCTTTTTCTTAAAATATGTATTACCTATAACTAAACCCCTTTCTATACAAAGTTCAATCAAAGGGCTCCCATTATCATTTACACCTGGCACCCCAAACTTACCTACCACACCCTCTCTAAAAGTTTCTCCTACTTTAGCATTCAGGTCCCCTACCACAATTACTCTCTCACTTGGTTCAAAGGCTCCTATACATTCACTTAACATCTCCCAAAATCTCTCTCTCTCCTCTCCATTCCTCTCTTCTCCAGGTGCATACACACTTATTATGACCCACTTCTCGCATCCCCCTTTACTTTAATCCACATAATTCTTGAATTTACACATTCATATTCTCGTTTCTCCTTCCATAACTGATCATTCAACATTACTGCTACCCCTTCCTTTGCTCTAACTCTCTCAATACTCCAGATTTAATCCCATTTATTTATTATTATTTTTATATCACCACTGGCCGATTCACCAAGCAGGTGAGCCGAAAAATTCCCCTAACCCCCGTTCAGATCTTTTGTTTTTAAACTGCAGACATCCCCCCAACAGTCATTTCATTCTTACCATCTCCAGGATCATCTGTTTTCTTGAATCCCCTAACATGTTACGCACACTTCAACATCCCAGTTTTATAAAGTTTTTCTTCATTCTCTATCAAACACGTCACGGAGCCTGGGGTCAGCCTCGCCCAAACCCTCCCCCCTTTCGTCCCCCCATTAAGACACCACCGTCCTTACAGAAAAGAATTCTGTTTCCTCATTCCCCATGGCCCAAATAAAAAATCTAAACAGTTGGAACCCGAGCTATTTAAAAAAAACCTAATGTATGTAATATTACGCAGGTGTTCTGTGAAGTTGACCAAAGTGTAAGAGGAGTAGCAAAATCCCTGTTACTAGCGTGTTTATATTTAAAATAGTAACAAAAAGAGTCTACTTTTGTAGCACTACAATGAACGTCGATCTTGACCATTTAAGGTTAAAATGTTGACACTATACCTTCCCACCTCTAGACCCAACCAGCTAACCAGTTCCCCTAAACCCTTCACAAATTAATTATCTCCATTATTATATTATTATTATTATTTGCTTTCAACAATTAGCCGTCATCACCGAGGCAGGCGACCCAAAAAAGAAACACTTTACCATCATCAACACTTCTAACATAATCCTGTCTTGCAGACTCACAGATATAAACATAAGAAAAAGACCGGAACGCCACTCCCAATTGAAGTCATCCCCACCCCCCCCCCATTATATCCAATCCACACCAGTCTGGACCCCACTCAAGGATGGAGCACTGCACCAGACCCAGCAGCACAAGCTAGTAATGTCCAACTTACACCCACCCACACCCACTCATGTATTTATCTAACCTATCTATCTATATGACGATTCAGATGTCACTCCACAGAGCAAATATCCCAAGCGCCTCCTTTACATTGCAGGTATTGTACTTCCCACCTCCAGGACTCAAGTCCCGCTATTGTGCAATTCTTCCCATGAGTTTTACCTGTTTTGCTTGTCTTTTCTCAACAGTACAAATTACTAAAGGTAAATAAAAGAACAATTTTGGAAAGTGTTTCTTATTTTTCAGCTCACTTGGCATCAGTGGGAGACGGCCGGTGAGTTAAAAAGAGAATAACAATGAGAAAGTTGGTCTGTGTCTGCTCCTGTAGCTACATGTTGGTGATTACAAACAACTAGTTACACACACACACAACACATACACAACAAACACACAACAAACAACACACACACACATGCAACACACACACACACACGCAACACACAACACACACACAACACACACACAACACACACACAACCACACAAACCACACACACAACACACAACACACATACAGACAACACACCAACACACACACACACACACAACACCACACACACACACACAACACACACACACAGAGTAGTCAGGAAGTGGAATAGTTTAGGAAGCGATGTAGTGGAGGAAGGATCCATACATAGCTTTAAGCAGAGGTACGATAAAACTCATGGTTCAGGGAGAGTGACCTAGTAGCAACCAGTGAAGAGGCGGGGCCATGAGCTTGGACTCGACCCCTGCAACCTCAACTAGGTGAGTACAACTAGGTGAGTACGCAGTAACTCACCGCTCTAGTCCATGGGAGGCCTGTGCGTGCATGTTGTACTCCCGTATAAGGTCAGTGATAGTCTCCATGTGTTCAAACGTTGCTGATCCTAATGTTTTCTGAAGCTGAAAAACAAAAATACCATTATATTTATGAGGAGATAAACCCAGAGGGGTCATACAGCACTTTGGGAATGAGAGGTAATTGGGAGAGTAGCTCCCATTCCTGGATCAAGAGCCATTTATCAGTATCAGGGCACCTTCCTTAGAGGTTACATAAAGAGAGCATAATTTTTTTAATGTACCGTATGTCTTCCGCCATGATAGGGTGATCCAAAAAAGAGGAAATGCATTCATTATCACTCACTCAATCATCATCTTTCCGGAAGTGTATCGGCATCACAGTTCAGATGGCCTTCTGAACTCTAATTTTGCAATTTGATGGGAAATTAAAAGTTTGCAACACAAAAACTTACTAATATCATGAAAAACAGCCAATATCATTAAAATACAGTGGACCCCCGGTTAACGATATTTTTTCATTCCAGAAGTATGTTCAGGTGCCAGTACTGACCGAATTTGTTCCCATAAGGAATATTGTGAAGTAGATTAGTCCATTTCAGACCCCCAAACATACACATACAAATACACTTACATAAATACACTTACATAATTGGTCGCATTGGGAAGTGATCGTTATGCGGGGGTCCACTGTATTACAAGTTTCCCTTGCCATTCTACACTGTCCTATTTCTATAGGTAATTCCGCATACAGTAAGTCCTTAATCTACAAACACATTGGGGACCTCGTGAATTGTGTGCAATATTCACAATACAGGAAATCTTCAAATCTTCAACTTCTGTATAAATTACAGCCTCTCTTCACTTAACAATGGAGTTCTGTTCCTAAGACCACGTTGGTAAACAAATTCGTCACTAAGTGAGGAGCATACTATAATGGTAGTGGGTTTGTGTCAACCATCTTCGATGTTGTTTGAATGTCACCTTAGCACTATTTAGAACATTTGAAGTAAATTTTTAAATGTTTATACAGTAGTGTACTGTATATTGTAATAAACAGAACAGAGAAAATCAGCTCTAATATACATTATTTACGTATGCATACTGGTCAAAGAGCCCATCGTAAGTCCGAGTCGTTGGTAAATGAGTAAATCGCTAAGTGAGGAGAGACTGTAATATATAATAATGATATACAAAATAATGATATAATAATGATATACACAATAATGACATAATACACAAGATTCTCAACGCCTTTGTAAGTTGCGGACTCACTGTATATGATATCCATTCAGTGTGAACAAGCAGTGCAGCTTGCAAAATGTATTGAAGTACCTTGTTATGCAGAATTAAATGTTGATGGCTGGGAGGGGCAGTGCCATAATGGGATGAAGTAAGTACAACTCATACCCCAAAAATTCCTTCATCAGCCCCAAAAGCCCCCAAATTAAGAACAATGATAATGCTACTGAGGTGACTAAAATACCAGGAGCCAGGGGTTAATAACCTCTCTCCTGTATAAACTAATACATGCAAAAAGAAAAAACTGCGTTTTTCTTTTTAGGTCACCTTGCCTCGGTGGGTGACCGCTGATGAATTGAAAGAAAAATTAAAATCGTGCTGCTGATGCTTCAAGCCAAGTTCCCTAGCCCCCATTACCACCCTTAATAATATTTTTTTTAACACATTGGTCATTTCCCACCGAGGTAGGGTGTCCTGAAAAAGATGTGCTTTCATCATCACTCATTCCATCACTGTTTTGCCAGAGGCATGCCTACATTACAAGTCAAAAACTGCAACATATCTCCACCCCTCCTATAGAGTGTTGGTACTGTACTTCCCACCTCCAGGACTCGAGTCCACCTTGCCGGTTTCCCCGAATCCCTTCATAAATGTTACTGTGCTCACGCTCCAACAGCACGTCGTCATATTAATCGTTTGTCTCCACTTGCTCTCATCTAACATACTCACACGCTTGCTGGAAGTCCAAGCCTCTTGCACACAAAACCTCCTTTACCCCCTCCCTCCAACCTTTCCTAGGATGACCCCTGGCCCACCTTCCTCTCACTACAGATTTATATGCCCTCTAAGTCCTATTTCATTCCAAATGAAGGTCTTAATAATGAGTGGTGATCTTACCTGTATGAGTGGTGACCTTGTGTGAATTGTGATCTTACCTGTGTGAGTGGTGACCTGTGTAAGTGGTGATTTTACTTATGTGAGTGGTGACCTTGTGTAAGTGGTGATCTTACCTACGTGTCATGACCTTCTGTGAGTGGTGATCTTACCTGCATGAGTGGAGGAAGTACAAAGTGAGCCACTACATGATCTGGTAGATGACAGCAGGTGAGAGCAGAGTAAGCTTCCAACAGTTCCCCTCCCAGTACCGCTGCTTCCTCTTCACCGTGGTGTCCGTCCATTGCCAGTCGACACAGCTGAGGCAGCAAGACTGCTTCCCAAAACTTTATTAGTCACATGCTCACCTTCCATTTATTACTACTAATTAAAGCCATAACATAAGGCAGACCCAACTCAAATACTACATTTACACACATCCACATTTACAAACACAAGTAGCACACAACCACACTCACGAACACACCAAGTTACACACACATCCACGCTCACAAACACACCAAGTTACACACACATCCACGCTCACAAACACACCAAGTTACACACACATCCACGCTCACAAACACACCAAGTTACACACATCATGGAGCTGTGACTTGACCCCTGCAACCAACTATTGGTGACTTAATACATCCACACTCACAAACACACCAAGCTACACACTTCCACACTTGCTAAATTACACATAACCAAACACAAACACAAAACTACACACATTCACACTTACAAACACTGCAAATTACACACATCCATACTTAAAACAAGTCATTTAAGATACAATTAATGTTATAATACAGCTGAGCTGTAGTACAAAAACATATGTGATAACTTGTTTTCAAAACCGACAAGTAGAAAACTGAGACACTTATGCAACATATGAGAATCTTTATTAAGGAAACGCTTCGCCACACAGAGGCTTCATCAGTACAATACAAAGTAGAAAGGTGTAAGGAGAGGAGTTTGAGGTAATCAGTCCCTAAGCCTGTACTGCTGTTCTCTATTCAAATAATTTGTTTGTTAAATTGTAACATCAGGAACACAGAGGTTAAGTGGAATAAAGACTGAAAACAAACACAGTGTATGATTTTCCCTAAGTCAGAATTTCCCAACTTTTTTTCTCAAGAAACCAGTACGTAAAACTACATTTGCATTGCAAACTACATGATCTATATGTATGGTATGTATCTACTTATGAATTGAACAAATTAGTTATCTATAACAGAGTAAACATTTTGGGAAAAAAATATTCTAGACACACCCATTCAACCAAATTCCAGTTGCAACTCTGGGGCTTGGGGACCCCTGGAGAATACCTGGAGAGGATTTTGAGGGTCGACGCCCCCACGGCCCGGTCTGTGACCAGGATTAGGCCTAAACCAGACCACCTAGACCCCTGGTCTAGTTGGCCCCATGGCTTGGTTGGTAATGCGCTCATCTTGTACACCGAGTGTCTGTGGTTCAATCCCTGGCTGGTAGAAACATTGGGCATGTTTCCTTACACTACTGTCCCTGTTCACTTAGCATAAAGTAGGTATCTGGGTGTTAGTCGACTGGTGTGGGTGGCATCCTGGGGGGTAAGACTGAAGGACACCCATGGAAATAAGACAAACAGTCCTCAATGGCACACTGACTTTCTTTGGTTATCCTGGGTGGCTAACCATCCATACCCTGGGTTATCCTGGGTGAATAACCCTTCCTTACCCCAGGTTACTGGGTGGCTAACCCTCTCCCAGATTAAAAACCCAAGTAAATCTTATCTTATAGTGAACTAGAAGTTTCACAGTCTAGGACACTGCTGTACTTACACTGATGAAGGAGTCGAGGGTGTGCAGTGTGCGCCACAAGACAGCAGGTGCGGGCCAATGCCAGCTGAAATTCCAAGTTTTCCATCACAGATGGATCTTCGCACAAAGTCTCCAGCTGGAGCCACACTTTGTCTAGTACCTTAATGGAAAAAATCAATACATAAATAACATACCATTAGAGTTTTATCAACACACACCAGCTGGCTCCCACTGAAGCTGGGTGACCTAAAAAGAAAATCAAAAGTTTTTCTTTTTACACCTGGTGATTTATACAGGAGGAGAGGGTTATTATTATTGTAATTATTATTACTATTATTATAATTATTATAATTACTATTATCATTATTAAAGTACGTACGTCTTTGACGCAGCTTAAATTCCTTATTGAGGGTCGTTTACTGGCATTAATGCATCCCATGAAGATTTTTTTTTTTCAACAAGTCGGCCGTCTCCCACCGAGGCAGGGTGACCCAAAAAGAAAGAAAATCCCCAAAAAGAAAATACTTTCATCATCATTCAATATTTTCACCTCACTCATACATACCTTTGATATATACCTTTGAAGAGTTTCGAGAGTTCATCTACTCTTTGAGCCCGGCCATGGGCCAGGCTCGTCTGGTGCTTGCCTGATCAACCAGGCTGTTGCTGCTGGAGGCCCGCTGCCCCACATATCCATCACAGCCTGGTTGATCTGGCACCTGGTGAAGATACTTGTCCAGTTTCCTTTTGAAGGCTTCTACACTACATAATCACTGTCTTTGCAGAGGTGCCCAGATACAACAGTTTAGAAGCATATATAATATATATAACATATCCCTCCAAACTGCCAATATCCCAAACCCCTCTTTTAACCCTTAAACTGTCCAAACGTAGATCTACGTTTGCTCGCGTAGCGCTCCGAACGTAGATCTATGTTTTTTTACATTGTTTCTTATGGAGAAAATCAAGGTTGGAGTGCTATGTACACAAACAGTAGATCTACGTTTGGACAGCTTAAGGGTTAAAGTGCAGGCATTGTACTTCCCATGAAGATGTGAAACAAAAAATATATTCAAACTGCCTAAGGGAGATGTATATATATTTTTCCTCAAAGACATTTTTATCTACTTCAAGACTAAGGGTCCCCACAGTTTGCACCAGAGGTGAAGCCCATCTATATATTTTTTTAACATAGTGGCAGTCTCCCACTGAGGTAGTGTGACCTGAAAAGAAACATGTTCACCATCATTCAGACTATCACTGTCTTTCCAGAGGTGTGCAGATACGACAGTTCAGAAGTCCCTCCAAACAGCAAATACCTCCAACCCCTCCTTTAGAGTGCAAGCATTGTACTTCCCACCTCCAGGACTCAAGCCCAGCTAACAAATATACAGTAGGACTCCATATCCACGGGCCCGGTTTCCACTCTTTCTGTTATCAGCGGTTTACTGTGGCTGGAAAATACTTTAATTTTGCTTAATAATGTCGCCAAAGTACAAAAGTAGTGATGCCAGCAATTCTCCAAAGCCTACGAGAAGCCTTGAATTGCTTCCCATCAGTGAAAAAGATCCAAGTTTCCATTTACTATGCATAATTTATCAACTAAATTATCATAGGTATGTAATCGAAAATCGACTTATATATAGGGTTCACTACTGTCCATGGTAGGTCCTTGGAACGTATCCCCCACGGATATGGGGGTCCTATTGTAATAGCAAATATTTATCATGTGGGAAAGTTGCATACCTCATTGTTCGTTGTCGTTGTGATGACAGTAGCCAGAGGATGAACTGCCGAGGCCTTGACATGTATGTCCGGGTCTGTTGCTAGAGTAACAAGTGCTGGCACAACACGCGAGCCTAGAGCAGCATCCTCCACACTAGTCACCACGATGCCCCACAACCCAGCACTGCATGCCCTCACCATACTGGACTTATGAACCACACACGACCACAGCGCTCCAAGCACGGAGTCTTGATTACGCTGGGACTGCAAGAGAGTCGAGACAGCCACATAGAGTGCATCGGGTTGTGCGCGACACAAAGCAAGAATGCTGATTTGTCTGGCCAAGAAGCCTTCCAGATCCCCCGTCTTTTCAGAGTATCCTTGATTTGATGCCAAGAAAGCTACGATGTAGACAACTACAAGGGAGCCAGTGAGGCCGGTGTTTCCCTGGCGCACTACTTCCAGTGCTGAATCATCGATACTCAAGTGTTCCATAAAAATGGGAGTAATGCTTGATGCTGTTATATACGGCCCAAAACAAATCGGCAATTGAGAAAACAGCTTAATAAATGCATGAATAATGGGCACATTTGAAGCATCAATGTAAGAGAGTGGTTCAATTATGGCAGGAATGAACTTTTGAGTAATATAATCAAGTTCTTTCCAAGATTTAAACCATTCCTTTGAAACATACTGATGGAACTTGGATAAACCAGTTTCAGCTTTGATTTTACTACCAATTATGATTTCTAATTCTTCTAAGGCACTCGTGGCTGATAAAGAAGTTAAAGACGTGCCAGTGATGTGGTGGTTCTCCAGAGTAGGAATTGAATTGATGAGTGTTGCCAGGATGAATGGAATTATCTTAGTAAGTGCCTCTATCACAGGAATGATAGGCTGCTGCCCCAAAACCTGAGAGGCTTGTGGTGTTGCTTGTTGCTGCTTGAAGTGTACTGCCATTTGGTTTAGTTTTGCTAACAAGGGGTCTAGTATGAGATTCAGTTTATTGATTTCAACAGCCCATATGGCCAGAGATGAGAGGAGCATGTCAGTAGCTCTAGGGGATGTTGGAGACCTTGCCGTCACGAAAGATGCATCCAGTGCCGCAGGAGATGAAGGATCGGCAGTAGTCCCAGGATTCTCGAGGCAATTTAGTAAAGCATCCACAAGAACAGGTAACTTGTCTTGGTCATCTAAGTAAGTGACTAGTAGAGCTAAGCTTCTCAATGCTGCCTCTCTGACCCGAGTCTCTTTCTCCCCTCCAGGAGCCAGAAGTTGCAGCAGCATGGAAAGCAAGAGAGAGTTCCTCAGTGGTGGTGGGGTGTAGGGAGCCAATGCAGCAGTAGACTGAGCCACTAACAGCCGGCGTTCAACATACTTATGAGTCAGTTGCTCCCAACACTGTGGTAATAGTTCAGCCTCGAGCTTAGTGGCTCCAAGAACGCGAGCCAGACCAACAAGTCCCGTCAGAATAGTGATGCGCTGCTCCTCGATCTGGTCGCTTGATCAAGTTAAATAGCAGGTGGAGCAAGCGTTCCCTTTCTTCTCCAACTTTGTGCAGACTAACTCCACAAATCAGTAGTGGTAACAATTCCTAGAAAGAAGAAAAAATCAATGAAGTTTTTGCAAATAACATTCAAACACTTTTGCACTATAATTTGAAATATATATATAGATACAGTATTTTCAAGGGGCTAATAACCCCTTCTCCTATATAAATTACTAATTTTATAAGAAGATCAACTTTATAGTTTTCTTCTTCGTCGGGTCACGCTGCCTCAGTGGGAGATGGCTGGTGCGTTAAAACAAATGGTTTTTTTATAACTCAGTGGCTGTCTCCCACCAAGACAAGGTGACCCAAAGAAAACACATTTACCATTATTCATTCAATAGCTGTCTAGGCAGAAGTATGTGGGTATCATAATTCAGATGACCTTCTGAACTTCAACATCCCCACCTATCCTACAGAATGATGCCATTGCACTTGCCACTTAGAAGTATGTTTTTTTAACACACCAGTCATCTCCTGCTGAAACAGGGTGAACCAAAACAAACAAAAAAAAAGGGAATACATTCACCATTTCTCACTCAATTGATGTCTTGCCAGAAGCATGCTGATATTGCAGCATGCGTTATGAGATCAAGATAAATAACAAAGACTGAAACATTTCCATTAAAATATGCATTTTAAGTTTTTTCCAATTGAAACACTGAAGCTGACTCGCCTCACGCTTTGCCAGTATGACATTTGGAGCAATGTTGTGGAGAGAGGTTGCCACCACGTCCAAAAGTTCCTGACTACCCTGGCCCAGCGTTGCTACCTCTTCCTGTAGCCGGGAATTTCTGCGTATTGTGTGACCCAGACTGACTTGCAGCACCTGCTCCTCAAAAGCCTCGGGTGGACACCTGAAATATTAGAGAACAGTAAAGAAAAATGGCTGGGAAATACAGTGCCTGTACTCTAAAAGAGGGGTGAGGGTGTTGCAGTTTGGCGAGTCATCTGAACTGTGATACTACAGTGGACCCCCGGTTAACGATATTTTTTCAGGTGCCAGTACTGACCGAATTTATTCCCATAAGGAATATTGTGAAGTAGATTAGTCCATTTCAGACCCCCAAACATACACGTACAAACGCACTTACATAAATACACTTACATAATTGGTCGCATTCAGAGGTAATTGTTATGCGGGGGTCCACTGTATTTGCACGCTTCTGACAAGACAGCAATTGAGTGAATGGTGGTGAATGTGTTCCCTTTTTCTTTGGAGTTACTGTGCTGAGGTGGGAGTTGGCTGGTGTTTTACAAAAAATACTATATATATATTTTTGTTCAACAAGTCAGCCATCTCCCACCTAGGCAGGGTGACCCAAAAAAGAAATCCTTTCATCATCATTCAACACTTTGACAATCATCTACACATAATCACTGTCTTTGCAGAGGTGCCCAGATATGACAGTTCAGATATCACCCCAAATACCCAATATCCCAAACCCCTCCTTTAACCCTTTGACTGTCACGGTCGTATATATACGTCTTATTAGGTACCGTGTTTGACGTATATATACAGTGGACCCCCGGTTAACGATATTTTTTCACTCCAGAAGTATGTTCAGGTGCCAGTACTGACCGAATTTGTTCCCATAAGGAATATTGTGAAGTACATTAGTCCATTTCAGACCCGCAAACATACACGTACAAACGCACTTACATAAATACACTTACATAATTGGTCGCATTCGGAGGTGATCGTTATGCGGGGGTCCACTGTACTCATAAATTCTAGCGACTTCAAATCAAGCAGGAAAAAGCTGGTAGGCCCACATGTGAGAGAATGGGTCTGTGTGGTCAGTGTGCACCATATAAAAAAATCCTTGGAGCACGCAGTGCATAATGAGAAAAAAAAATCCGACCATTTTTTTAATTAAAATGCCGACTTTGTGGTCTATTTTCGTACAGTATTTGTGGCTGTATTCTCGTTTTCTTGGTCTCATTTGATAGAATGGAAAACATATTATAGAAATAGAGGTGATTTTGATTGATTTTACTATAAAAAGAACCTGGAAATGGAGCTCAAAGTAGGGGAAATGTTTGATTTTTGCCGATGTTCAAAATAAACAAATGATTCATTGCCAAAAAAATGCCAACAGCCTTCTAAAATGCAGTCAGAAGGGGTTGATGTTATTTATAAAATTTATTCAATATTGCAGTAGTCTGCATAACATAATCTTCTATTTTTTTTTTGAATAAAAATTCAAAATAAAAAGCGAGAAATATCGGGGGCCCTGGGACATGATGATGAATAAAAAAAGTTATTTTAACCCAGGAATGTCGCATTGTTATTCTGGACCTTATTTTCAAATTGTCATATTTTTTAAATTTTGGAAATTGGCCAAATTGCAATTTCTGACCAGTTTTTGGTGTTGAAATCGGTAAATGGGCATTTTCTTTACTAAATCGATAGAAAAAAACGGAAGTTCTAAGAAATACTATGAGGGTTGGGGAACAAGGGAATTAGCGAAAAAAGGGCTCAAATGGGCAAAATCCCCGATTTGTAAAAACCCCGGTTGTAATTTTGCGAGAGCTTTTAATTTCCATCATTTTCCATCAAAAATTTCTGTTTTTGGTGTCTTTAAAATGGGGGAAAAGATTCTCTATATTTCATAGAAAAATTTTTTTTTTTTAAATTTGTGCGACAAGGAGACCCCTCAGGTTTGGGGGGGTTGGACATTTAAAAGGGGTTAAAGTGCGGGGACTGTACTTCCCACCTCCAGGATTTCAAGTCCAGCTAACCATTTTTCCCGAATCTCTTCAAAAAATATAGCTGGGGGAGTGTACTTTCTCCTGAAATAACAAACAGAATGTTACAACGGGTGATCCTTGCTTATCAACGATAAAACCCCACTTAATGGTCAACATTAGAGCTGTAGTAACCTCAAAGTAAAATGTATCCCCCTTCATCCCATTATGTTTTATATCTACAGTATCACCTAACAACCGGGGTCATATTTCAAAAGGGAAAATTTTTTCAAAAAACCGACCCGTATCCCCCGGGGGTGACCTGAGAAAAAAAACGAAACTGTTTTTTTAAAATTTGTAACTTAGACAGACAAGGGGTTACTAGACCTGGCCCCGGCACGTCGTCACCTTTACAACATCAGACTTCCAAGGAAGAATTCCTTTCCCACTTACATAAAAGGGTACTGGAAGAAATGGAACATCACCAAAAAAAATTTCCAAAACCCCAACTCACAAAAAGATTTACTGAAATTAAAAATAAATATTATTTTCCTATTTTCCTCGCACTTGGTCCAGTTCTATGTGCGTACATTTAAAAAAAGGCAAGCCGGGTCCCATCGGAAAAGACCCGGCTGGCAAGACTGCCGAATACAACAACAACAACAAAAAAGGCAAAAACATTTATAGTAATTTAAAAAATCACATTTGGAGCACACTGCCTATCAGTAACACTGAGTCCTTTAAACCCCCAGTTTTTTCCTACTCTTCCCATTTAAAAACAGCAAGGAGGGTGTAGCAAAAAAAAAACACATTCACCATCATTCATTCAAACATTTTTTGCCCGAATTGTGCTAACTCACAAATTTACACTCCCTCTGACATCAACGCCTACCCCTCAAGAGTGCGACACTGCTCTTTCCCCCTCCAGGATTCAAATCCCCAGACTAAAATTCATTTTACATATGAAAAATGTAGTAATAGTAGGCATATTTTTGAGGACCTGCCTGCCAACCTTTAAAATTTTAAAATTTAAGAATTATGTTTTACCTTTAAATTTAAACCCCAGGTTAACTTTTTATGATTACCTCTTTGAAAAACTTCAACAGTTTTCTTTCCTCAAAGCTGCTCTTTGTTTTCTTCTGCGAACTTGTACTGTCAGCGAGTGTACCCGCATGCCAAAAGCATCCTTTGGTGAGGGTGATGTTCTGAAATGCAAGGAGTCAAAGCTCTTGATCTGGTTTCAAATCTGGTAGCATGAGGATTTTTACAGATTTATCTCTGGCTCCACGTGACTTCCTCATTCAAGGGGACTTCCCTTTTCCATGTTCCCGAGAGCTGCTCGTTAAATTCTGCTGCATCTCCTGAATGTCTTGTTAAGGTTTTAAAAGATTTTGAAAAAATCTTCTACCACTTACAGCATTAAAATTTTTTTTTTCTCAAAATGAGCGCCTTCATTTTTAACCTCCTTTTTATTTTCCAGACTATTTTTAAATTCAAATTTGTGGGAAAATCCCAAATTTTTCGAGTCCTGATGGGGACAGCGGCAGCAGTTTCAATAAAACCGCGCCGGTGGAAGTTTCTTATTGTCGGGACCTTTGGTGATTCCCCCGCCGTTTTAACGACGGGGGGGGGCTTTACTTTTTGGAACTAAATTGTGACCTCTGAAAATGACTGGTTGCTTTGAGGTGATTGGGTAGAGTTATCCCCGGTGTGGAGGGTTTTTGTCTCAGTTTCTGGAGTTCCCCCGAAGAGAAGAAAACAAGAGATTAGAATGAATAATTGAGTGCGAGCAAGGTAATATTTTGTGAAGGGATTCAGGGAAAATGGTTAGCTGGACTTTAGTCCTGGAGGTGGGAAGTACAATGCCTGCACCCTAAAGGAGTAGTTTAGGATATCTGCTGTTTAAAGGGACATCTAAACTGTCATATCTGTGCACCCCTGGCAATGATAGTGTGAATGTCGGTGAAAAGTGTTTCTTTTTTCAGGTCACCCTGCCATGGTTGGTGATAGCCGTTGTGTCAAAAAAAAAAAAACTGAGTAAATGAATGTTTCCTCTTTTCTGGGTTACCCTAATGTTGGTGGGAGATCTACCTACCAGAAGGATGTTCCGGGGGGCAATGGCCCACGACCCAGTCCCCTGACCAGATGGTCAGAGTTTTAAAAAAAATAAGTCTCAATATCATAGCTAGAGCAATTCACAACCCAGAGTTGAGAGAGGAAACCTCAGGCGATGCTTGGTGATGGTTTAAAATACAAACATAGCTATTTCCCTTACCTCTCCTGGGCCTCAAAACTACTTCTAATCTCATTTAATTCATCTTGTAGTTTCTCTATATCTGCCTCCAGTCGGGTGACCTGCTGCTGCGAGTTGTTCTCCGTCTGGGACGAGCATGACTTGAGCTGAGCTGCCGAGTGTCCGCTCTCCCGCAACAGCTGCACCAAGTTGGGTGGTCGACCAGTGTTCAGACCCACATCGTCCCAGTGTTCAAAATCCTGCCGATTTGAAGCCAGAATTTATTTTCCGTAAAACATAGTACAGTTATAACACAAGTTATTATAATAACACAAGCTATAATGATAACACAAATTATCATAATATAACTTACTGCACACAATAGTCACATACTAACAGAGGAAAGTAAGGGAACCAGTATATACACGATAGGAGGGTAGGGACAGGACAGAGAGAGGAGGATAGTATTGGTGGAAGTAATGCCCTCCTCTGCATATATGGTAGACCCTCCATTAACACATATTCCTCTACACATTTTCTCCAATATGCTACTGCAAAACTGCGGCATATTGTCGACTGACACTTTGTAAAATCTGACTAACACAGTTCCACTTCTGAATGGGGAAAAAATTTGGAGTGCCTCAAGCTAGACCGTGGGATTTTTGCCCTCCATCTAGTGGCCTCTCCAGCAAGCTGATTGTGTGTCAAGCCATTGTCTTTGTGGGGAAGGTCTAGCTACCTCCCCAGCCACTCCATCCCACCTCTCGCATTTCAGTGCTCCATATATACGTGTTTCAAACAATTCCCAGATCTGTGTTTGTGAATCGGATACTCCTGATCTTTTCATTATCATATCTTGTATCTGCAGATTAACCATGGCACCCAAGAGGCATGCGAGTGATGAAAGAAGTGGCAAGATGAAGTTTAAGCGAT